GGAGTCCAACACCTTCGGGCAGCGTCGCGACGCCATATCCACTTTCACTATCAGGGCCTCCCGCGGCGGCCGCGAGGAGGCGCACAGCCGCACGTCCCGCGTTGCAAGTTGGCGCCTCCGAGCTATTTGTATTTTCGCACGCTCAAGTCACCCAGCTTCCGTTTTCCCGGTCGCGGAATCGTCGCTCTAGTGGCTTAGTGACTTTGTTCCATAGGTGCGTTTCAGATAGGAATCATCTCGAACTAGATTTGTGGCTCGACGCAATGAGTCCGTTGCACACACGCATTTGAAAATGTCCGTGTTTATGGTTGCTTTGGTTAATTTTAATTGGCTTTTATTTGGGAGAATCAATCAAAAGGACTTACTTGATTTACTTACAAGGAATAAAAAATTAAACTGCTGATTTAACAATTCAGTTGCTAAAACAAGTGACCGCAACGTTTCAACGTAGATTTTACAACAAAATAATGCTACTTTAACCACTATTGTAAGCAAATTAATCCAAGGGATGGTTAAAGTAGCATTTTTTGGTTGTAAAATCTACATTGAAACATTGCAGTCACCTTTCTTAGCAATCGAATTGTTAAATCAACAATTTAATTTTTTCCGTGAGATTTAAGGTCTGACTGAGCGTGTCCGTTCCACACAAGGAAATCAGCTGATTAAGAGGAATTTTTTCGGGTAAAATCAAGCGAGAAAATGTCGTGGTTTTTTTTTTTTTTTTTTTTTTTTGTCTAGTGATTTAGCTTGTTCACAGCGATCCAGGTTCTTTTCTCCGTCATGTTAAGTCGAGAAAAGTTGCGGACCGCAGGAACATTATAGGTATGATGGACCCCAATTTCTGCGAAAAAAGTTGCCTAAAGAATTCCTCTATAGTCGGTGGAAATTTGGCAACGGCAAAATGATCATAAGTCGTTCTCCGTTAGACAAAAATCACACAAAATGCGTCCCATGGTGTAAGTAGCATGATGGTTCCTACCACCATAGCTACATCATAGCATCATGGTTTAGCGCTACGCATCGACGAAATCAAGGCCTTTTTGAATTTGATGAACATTTTTGGAGTAATCTTGATTTCCCTGCAGAATAGCATGGACCCCTAACTATTCTACCATCCTTCACTGGGAAAAAAGTCGCTTATGGATCTAGATTCCAGACACTTTTAAAAACATTGACAATAAAAAATACTCTTGATTCAATCGGACTTTTTCTTTGAATCAAAAGGAAATCCGTCTAAATCAAGAGGCTCGGCTATTCGATTTAAGGAAAAATCGGAATGAATCAAGAGTATTTTTTCTTGTCAATTTTTTTAAGAGTCTGGACTCTAGATCCAAGCGACTTTTTTTCGGGTGTTTTGTTCCTTAGTATGGCAGTTACGATCCTCCCATTCCCAATTCCGTGGTCGAGAAAAACACCCTTTATAGGGAAATCCGACATGGGCGCGCGGCAGCCAATTTGTCGGCTCCCATGGTTGCCGCATCTGGCAAAATTCTTCAAAAATCGCAGAGGAGCTGCGCACGAAACCCGCGTATTTTTAGCCCAGTCTGTCAATGCTGTGTCGTTGATCTGTGCATCGGCATCGGTCGGTCCGGATCCGTGCTCAGTCGCGCGACTTGGCTCGTTATTGACTCCGAACGACTCGCGAATTCGCACGGCGCCGAGTCAAACCGTTCCACGTGGTCGTTATACCAATTTTCCGACATTTTTAAACAAAATTTAATTTTAAAATTTTAATTTTTAAATTCGTTTCCGGCGCGTAAAATAAGTGATAATCGTGGAATCGGAGTGCAAACGGACATTCAAAAACACGCCTGAAGCGTGGAAGTGCGTGAGACGTGTGATCGAAACACGTGTGTGCTGCAACACGTTGGGAACACGCGGGTTTACACGTCGGTGTGGTCGCGTGCAAGCGTGCCGGATTTAGTGTGGAACTTGGTTCGGTAGCTTTTTGGCGGAATTCGCGATTCAAGTTGTTCAGAATTGGTTATTTATCCAGTTACAAATACGTCTATTTGAGTAAGATAATTCGTGACTTTTAAATATTTTCGTAACCAATGCTCATTGCAGAAAAAAACACACTTTGATCTAAAAAATTAAATGTTATGTTTTGCACCAAACTATAGCAGTTGAGTATATGAGCGGGGTGGTTTTGTCAGTGGTAGAAAAACGTTGTGCGTATCGAATTGTTTACGAGAGGATGAATGGACCTATAAATTAATAACTATACTCGCGTGTTTATTTTTATTCGGTGTCATAACGATCGTTTCTCTTTTAAAGAGAAAATAATTGTTTCAAATCGATATTTCCGCCTAGTTTTATCGAAAAAGAAGCGTGGATGCTTCTTATCCAAGTATAGTTTGAATTTTAAATTCGGGCTTTGCCGCGAAAATATATTTTTTCAGTGAAAAATTTGGAAAGTTTCATTGGCTTATTTGACGTTTCATGGAGGTGGGATTTCAGTTGTCACCTTCATAATCATTGTCACAAGTGAAAAAGTCGAATATTTTCATCACTTCGTTCCACGATATATCTCACCGCAGCTGCACTAGGAATAAATGGTGAGTATAATTTGAATGAATTTTGAAGTACTCAAATGTGTGATTTTTATTTGAGGCATATGTACCACCTTTTATTGGCGTTTATTGGCTGCCTTAGAAAAGCTATCATGGTGCAAAATGTAAGGTCGATAAAATTGATTAAAATATCAAATAGGATCCTAAAATGAAGTTTCTCGCCTTTGCTGAAAATATGACTCTTTCATGAATATATTGAGCAATATTATTGAACCAAAAGTAGTTTGTCAATGGTTAAATTTTAAAGAAATGTAAGTATCTCAGATTGCAATGTTGTAGGTATCCTCTCATGTTTTATCTTCCTACAGGAAATCTGGCCAAAATGTTCTATTGAAATCGTTAGACAATATTATTCACTTATTCTAAAAAATGCCAATAAATCGTGAAGCATCGTGGCAAAAGTAGTTTGCCTCGTAGGAAACAAATCATAATCAAAGGTTTTTCAATGTTGCGCTATATTGAGATACACATGTTTTTGCATTTAGACATTAGTATGAAGCTTGTATTTTTTAGATTATTTAAAAATGTAGAGCTTCCAAGACAAATTATGCCAAAGATTGATTTGGACTTTGCTAAAAATGTGCTGAGATAGTAAAAAAAAAGTATGAGGATTTCAAAATTTGAAAACACACGTTCAAGACGAAAGTGGCAGACAAAATTCAAAAATATTTTAAAATTTGTTTTGGATCGTGTGAAGCAGAGAGGAACCAAGCCACATCAGACGAGGAAAATCCAAGCGCCTTCAATGTAGGCGTATGCAACATGCATGTCCATTGAGTACGAATAGTTGTATTCAGAGTATGAATATATTCATCAAGTTATTTTAATTTTAAAATCGAAAGAGCTTGAAAGACAAGTTTATGGAGCATTTAATAAGTTTTTATATTCTTGAGCTCTCTGCTCAATAAATAAGGAACCCAGAAAGATGGGAGGTAAAAAGAAGGTAATATACACTTTACATTTCTGCGCATATGAGCGCGAAAAGCTCTCCGCAACTTTAGAAGTCTCAAATCCAGAAAACCTGAGAGCAATGAGGCAAGCGTATAACTCAATGCATCGATTGTGCATGAAATCGAGCATGACCAGACCACTAACGAACCTTTATCATCACGTTCGCATCAGTGGCGTGGCGTGCTTTGCGATATATCGATTGATCTGCCTTTTAAACCTATGGAAAAGGATCGATGAACAGGGTTTCGCAACGAACACATTAATAATCGATTCTCTACCATAGCTTCAAATGGGGAAATGTCAATAGTCGATCATTCATGCCTCACCACTGGTTCGCTTGGAGATGCAGAGTGTAAACACAGATGCAGAGAAGCTGGAATACGGTTCAGAGGAGGTTCGCTAACTATAAAATTGCAGGTGTAAATTGCAGTCTCCTTGACCCTGGGTCGACGTGATGTGAGCTCTTGCACGAACAGGAATTGACACAACACCAGTTCGTCCTGATTTACATACCATGTAGCACCATTGAAACTTGCTTGGAAACTTCACTTTGATTTTCTAACTCACGAAAGAATTACAGAGTTTTTCTACTGGATTTCTGCCAGGTTAAGGAAGAACCCCCTATGAACATTCGAGAGTTGTCGAGTTTCCCTTGATAATACTTGTATTTTAACGAAATTTATGGATATTTTCCCCTAAAATTTTCAGATATTTTAGAGTGAATGGAGATGTTGCATTTGTGAGGGGTTCACGATTTGACAATTGATTCTTATGCACAAGTTCGCGAGAAACACGGCGGTGCCACTGATTTTTTCTGAAATCATCTCCTAAGCTCAAAAAAAGCTCTCAAGTTGAGGCCAAAATGGAGGGGATATCCCATGCTATCCTGAGGGTTCACCTCTACATCAAGACAAACTCTCCCTGCAAAGACAGGGAGCAAATACATTGACAGGAGATCTTTGAGATCCCTATCTTTGCATGGAGAGTTTGTCTTGATGTAGAGGTGGACTCTTAGCATAGCGTGGGATATCCCCTTCATTTTGGCCTCAACTTGAGAGCTTTTTTTGAGCTTGGGAGTTGATTTCAGAGAAAACCAGTGGCACCATCGTGTTTCTCATGAACTTTTACATCAGGATCAACAGTCAAATCGCAAATTCCTCACACATGCAACATCTCCATTGCGTACGAAATTGCCTGAAAGTTTTGGGGAAAAAAATGTTCTAAATTTTTCCATCAAATTCGGTTTCGCTATATACGTGCAATATATTTTAATGGACTGAGGTTTGTTTTTCCGTATATGATCACAAAAAGTAGAGCTTCATTGTCAGTCTATTCCTTAATGTTTGAGATTGTTCGGTACGGTCGCTCCGTGCTTAGTTATCGATTTGTCTATTCCAAGCATGATAGCTTCACAGTAGTAAGATAAAATACGGAATCGATAGATAAGCACATCAGGCTGCTCTGTAAACAAACACTGTCTCGAGAAATTTGCTTACTTACCGAATCATAACAACTGAAAACTACCGATTGATCATAACCCGTTGAACGTGTGTGATCATCTTTCTTGTTTAAGCATCAGTCATTCAGCTCTTAGAGATTTTTACCAGGTTAAAATGTGACATTCATTTCTTGCAGAGCCCACGGGAAAAAAAACACGAGGTGGTTGAATGAATTGTACATTTCCATTAATTGTGTTAGTACCCAAACTTTTTGTGGGAGTACCCCAGAAAATTAGGTTACTACCCCAAATGTAGCGGTAATACACCAATTGGAGTTGCGGTACTGCCACAATTAATTGGAAGTGCCTAAGATCCAACAAATCGTCGTCCCTCTGACGTGAGGGCGCATCTCTATCTCCACATGAACCCTGAAAAGTCTGCATCTATATGGAGCACACGGCTCACGTAGAAATTGAGATACGCCCTTACGTCAGAGTTAGCGATGAAATCAGGGTGGCACCACAATTTTTGGGGGTACATCTTAACACTTTTTTCCGTGTGAGGACAAGAGAATTATGCACTCTCCTGACACCTTCTTTTGAATTTATCTAGCAAACTCACCTGCAATTTGATGGCCAAAGTGAATAGTGAGCATCTTAAATTTCGACGTTCCAGATCTCCTCTCAGGTTTTGTTTCCTTAAAGAAAAGTAATCAACACTGAAAAAAAAATTGCAACCTCAACTACAATGGACTACTAGACAAGGTACGAATTTCAGCATTCTGATACATGCTTCTTAACCAAAATTTTACGTAAAACACGATGCGTACAACGAAAATGACCAAAATCAACTCCTTACGAAGATATTTAATGATTCTTGATGCGTAAATTCAAACCCCCCGCTCATGAATAACTCAATGCTCTACGTGATTCACATCGCGCGCTAAACGTCATCACGACAGTCTCTGCGATATAAAAATCTGGCAACCTCAATCTTGACGCTTTGGCTTAGTTATAGCAAATTGCTCATAGTTTAAACAACACATGGTGGAAACGAACATTGCTCGATTGAGAAGATTGCTGAAACCGTTGTAGTGCGCGATTTGACTTTCGTAGAGCTTTGAGTTTCTTGTGAGCGGGCAGTTCAAATTCCTCGTGACCAATCTGAAATAAAAACGTTCATATCTTCGTTAGGAAATGGTTTCAGTAATTTCCGTTGTGTGAATCGTGTTTTACGTGAAATTCTGGTAAAGAAACATGTATCAGATCGCTTAAATTCGTACCTTGTCTAGTGGTCTATTGCAGCTGATTTTGGCGCCAGTCATAAGAGTAGCTGCACTAGCTAGAAGTGTAAACGCACCAACCAGCGGAATAGTCAATCCAACCACACCAATGGTAACTGTGAGGGTACCAGCTAGAGGTATGGTTGATCCAACCAAATTTTCAGCTGACTTAACCATACATCTAACTTGTGTAACTACTCTAATATCTGGAGCCAAAATTAGCTAGGATTATAGTTGGGCTTGTGATACCTTTTTTTCTGTGAACGTTCTCCGTTGAAAATTTATGTGAATTTTCTTCACTAATTAAGAAAAATCACACAAAATTGTAAGGTAACTTTTAAATCAGTTTTCTTTGAAAAAAAGAAAATTAAACATACGTAAGAGCTATCGAACGTTACGATCAAGATAGGCATTTTTCGCACCTAGTCGTCAAATTGAGTCGTCATTACCAGACGTGCATGAATCGGAAACCGAGCTGATCATGATTGCGTATTTATCCAGGAAGCATTCCTCCTTTTTTGCTCATCTTTGACTAGATAATGAGAGAAGGAAAGAAAAATTGAAACACCTTCGTAATGCTCTACAAAAGATAAGTAACATGGGAGCATATTTCCGGATGCAAATTTTTTACGGCAGATATTGGCGGACACACATAAGTATTCATCCTCTGCGAGTTTCTGGCTAACTATTTCGTAAGAGGAAGTATTCGATACACCAAATTACGTAGACCAAAAATCAGCGCATTGTCTCCCAGCATAAATTTGCGCCGTGTAACCTTGCAACCCATTTGTCTCGGATGTTGTCATGAATGAAAGCCCAGCTTTCAGGTTCAGGGGCGCGTAATCGGCCGACGCGAGCGCGATGTGCAAAACTCAGGCGCGAAAGATTATCATTTAAAATTTGTCATAATCCGTCGACAACCAGGGTGCACTCTGCCCCCTCCCCCCCCCCCCNCATTGTCGGAGGCCGATGAGTGAATTTCGACGGTATCAATAGCCTGTTGCTCTTACTTACGATCTATTGTTCTCGCTAATTTGAATGAACGCTAACATGACGATGATGCAGTTTCCCGTCTACCCGATTGGCGATATCTTAATTAGACACATTAAGGCGGTAGAAGTCAACATAGGTACACGAGAATCCAGTGGCGATCGATTATCGATATTTGCCCATTTGAAGCTGCGTGGAGAAGAATCGACTTGTAAAATGTTTGTTGCGAACACCCTGTCTATCGACCCTTTACCATAGATTCAAATGGCAGATCAATCCATAAATCGCAAAGCACGTCAAGCTTCTCATCATGAAAAGCTTCGGGGTAAAATTACTCGATGGACAAAAAGCGAAACCATGTACCTCCGTCTGCGACGTTGCAGACTTCTTGTCACGCTTTATCTTTCTTTTTATTGGAAAACTAGTCGATATAATTTCTCGTGAGCTTTCTTGATTTTCCTTTTCTGCCAGCAGAATACTCTGTACTTCCCAGCTGTAAAGTTGGATTGTCTCTCTTTGAAAGCTTAAAATTGAAGCGGGAATCTTGAAAGACCGCAATGAGGATACGTAGTTTCGTGCTTTGACCGTCAATATGACTACCTTTGCGGACTGATTGTTGTAATTGGCAGACACAGCGATTGACAAAGATTACAAAAACGATACGGAGGGATCCCATTGGTTGAAGCGGGTGGTTGCAAAATAGACTTAGTAACGGCAACCCACGAGAGACCTTCTAGTTAGCCCCTTATTTTTCCCTGGGTCTATAAGAGCCACCCGTTTCAAGCAAAAGGACCGCTCCATACTTCTTAAGTCTTCTTTATCTATCGCTTTGTCTATAAATTTCAATGCAATAGACAAAGCTATATATACAATGAAGACATAGGATAGATGGAGCGATCCTATTGGTTGAAATGGGTGGTGCCAATAGACTAAGGTAGAAAATGATGGACTAAGTAAAGTGGGCTCTGGTGGGTTGCCGTCAGTTAGTCTACTACCTATCTCCTTATCCATTGCAACCACCCGCTTCCACCAATAGGATCCCTCCATATCCCTTTTGTCTTCTTTGTCTATAGCTTTGCCTATCAATTTCAACAATCAGCCTGCTGGTACGTTTTGCAGTCATGATGTTTTCGATAAGTAACCAATCCCTTTCCGTTCCCAAAGGCAAGTCCTGCTTCCCTGGTCACTTAATTGAGACGTCGGGTTCTCTCACGAGGAGACGCTGATCGGAAATTTAATTTTTGATCCATTTTTAATGAGGCTCCTTCCCGCTTTTTCACGAGACTTATCTTTGCTTTTTAATTAATGAACAGGTGGTCGGAGGCTAAGGCGGGGACGGAATGAGGGCGAGTTGTGCTTGTGCCAGCTCAAAAGGCCTTTGCGGATCTACCCCAGTCCGGGCGATCAACAAGTTTTCTCCGACGAGAGTGCGCTGTTGACTTAGCGGCGTCACACACCCCCTCCACCCCCCTCCCCCCCCCCCCGCCAGCAGCGGAGAAAAGCGCGAATAACAAGGTAAATTAATTTCCTCTCTAATCCTAGTTAAGTCTGGTAGACTCGAGTCTTTTAGACTCAAGGGTACCTTTTAAGGATAAAAATGGGCAGGGCGTTTTGATGAGTATCAGACGACTTTGCTGCCGTGCGACGCAAAAACGCCGTAAACGCCATTTTACACTTTTCGGAAACAATGTATCATAGCAGAAAAACTTGTGTACCTTGAGACAATGTTTTGTACAGAATTGTTTCGCAAATACTATCGATAACTTAACCTGAAAATTTGAGGTGTATGCGTGAAACAGTTTTTATTTTATGAAGTGTTAAGTCCCAAAAAAGAGGGGACATTTTGATGGATTTACGGCGTTCTTGCTTAGCACGGCTGTTTGGAGGCTGAAAAGAGGAGAGTAAAAAAAAAAACTCTAAGGTGCCATCAGACACTGATGAGACTGTTCACGTTCCGTTCACTTAAGAGACACGTAAATGACTTCATTTGGACCTCATTTTGCAATTAGGAACTGCAATCTGTGGCTCGGTTTAGAAACCACGTACGCACCATTTGTTTTTCTATGCACATACGTGTTTTTACGGATGAGCCAGAGATTGTAGTTCCCATTTGCAAAACGCGGGCCATTTCATGGACTTATGAAGAAATTTTCTCTTCTACGCTTTGATTTTAAGGCAGAAATTAGTCGTCTTCCAGACGATGGAACTTATAACTTAATTCCGAGGTTGCCAAATTGACTCAAGCAATTGATGTATTGTACAGAAAAGTACCTGTGCAATTAATGTCCAAAATTCTGATTTTGCATGAAATCTGATGGAAAGTCAGTCACATTTCTAGTTTAAAATGCCCAAGATTCTCCTGGTTAATATAAAATTTACGAGGGGAATTTTCTTTCGAATATCGCGCTGAACTAAAATGCGTGATACAACTATTTCAACTCCTGAGCCGCTCAAATTGTATTCATCGAGTTAAAGGTGAACTTTATTTCTCACTCTCGTTTTCAGTAATTCACACCCTGGCGCGAGAGCGGTGCTAAATGTTAACTTCCGCAACTAATATCAAAGTCAAAGTGAAAATAGAAATATTTTTCAATTGCAAACACAAGGTAGCAAGTTTAATCAAATTACAAAAGTCTGTGACTCTTCCCGGATCGCGTGCATCGGAAAACACGCCACGCCACTGTATCATAAGGGGTGGCATTTTGGTTAACAGGTTCTGAAAATCCCCGATACGATGTTTAAAGAATAAGGATAACTTTTGAAAAGCGAGGACCGTGATTTACCAAAATTCTTTAGCCAACAGTAATTCTCTAGAAAATTTGAAGAGAGCTATTCCTAAAAAATACGTATTTTATCACAATAAATTTGGTAGGACCCAAAAACTCATACGTTTTTTTTTTTTTTTTTTTTTTTTTTTTTTTTTTTTTTTAGTGCGGTTTTTCAGTTGCGGTTGTTTTTCAGTACTACATGAACGATTTACGATTGAGACTCAAAATCATGACACTTGGTAGCATCTTTGCATACTTTTGACTTTATTACTGAAATAAACTTGTGAATGATTATTAAATGTCTGCAGTTAACGCATTTCGCAAGTACTCAACTACTGATAAATGCCTGAAGAGCGGATATTACGCAAGATAATTTTCCAAGTCATATTTTTCTGGGAACACTCTGAAAGTATCCTATCAAAGTTGGTATCGTGTCACTTGGTTGTCAAATGAGACGGTCAGGGAACTCTCTGATTTCACCGTCCCACTATATTCACCATAATGAGTTTATGACTGATGACTGCTTACACCACTTTTTTCACGTTTGGACGAAGATTTTGACTAAGTAGACACGAGATTTTTATCCTTACACTTACACAGGAGTTTGTCGCCGCGGAATTTTGACCACGGGATTTCGTTGTGCGGGATGTGTATCGCTGGATATTGTCGGTAAACCGCAATAATTCAAACTTTATACAATTGGAGCACACTTTGCAAGTAAGAGCTACAATTCTGGCTTATTGTAGAAACAACATGGAGTTATAAGTTTCCCTGTTCAGAAAGGTATTTTTATCTATAAGCCAGAAATTTTACTTCATTATTTGAACAATTTATTCAAATTTAGGATCTGAATCAACGACGAAGACGTGGCAATGCTCGACTAAAATCGCAGACAGAAAGGAGTGATGTAAGTCGAGAGTTTTGAGAAGTCAAGAGTGAATGACTTAATTCGGGTCGTGTGCAGATCGTTGCAGCTCTGGCGTTTTCATCGAATTCCAGCTATTGATCGGTTATTTCAAGATCCATCGATTGCAATGTTAATCTCTTTCATTATTCCACGTTAAGAGCTGAGAGTGGTGGCTTCCGTTTTATCATACGATACTCTCGATGAGTACCAGGGATTATTTGCACTCGAACAAGTTAATATCTGTGATTTGTAGTCATCGATATTATTTTTTCCGTCTCAGAAAGGAACGTTTTTCGACGGTGTCAGTCGGCAATCACATAAGTCGGCTGTCGACGGTGCAGACCTTCTGTTGAACTTTATTTTTTGAACAGAAAACTACTTAATAAACTACTAAAATTAAATCAAATTAAGCGTCATGAAAACTGAGCGAGACTAAATTTGTGCGAAACTGTAACGAGGTCAATACGAGTCGAAAATTCTCCCTGCGGGTATTCCAATAACCCGGATTTTTAGTCCCTTGTAAACGTCGAACGACCCCTTCGCACAATTTTTACGAGTAACGGTGTGGCATTTCACCGCAACAGAGTCCTGCATCCGATCGAATTTCGACCCCGCGGGGACTGAACTGAACACTTGTAAATGCAACTCGTAAACTATAAAAATTAAAATGGGAGAACCCATCGGCCGAGATCGATGCCCCCTTTCCCACCCCCGCCCCTTTCTAGCCCCCAGGCATTCGCAATTCCTGTGACGTATATCAACGGTTCAATTCCCGAACCACATATCTCGCTTTGCAGCGTTGTCGAGTCCCTGTCAGACTCCATTTTTTCTTTCGAGGAGGCTTTTGCGGTCATCCCTCGAAAACTTCCGCGATTTTTCTTCTCTGCGTGAATGCACGAAAGCGAAAATGTCAAGATATGGATAACGTTAATTGGACTGCATTTTGCAATTTGGAACTATAAATTCTAGTGCGGTTTACAAACAACGTATGTGCCATTAGTTTCCCTAAGCACATAAGTGTTTTTTCAGATTAGTCAGAATTTCTAGCTCTAAATTGCAAATTGCAGTCCAATTTGTTTTCGACTTAATAACCCTACTCTGACGGACCCGGGTCTTTTTGACCTGAATCTTTGTCTTCCAGATCGCTGCATGGGCATGATCATAAAGAGAGTTAAAGAATGAAGAAGAGGGACTGGAACTTATCTGAGACGGAAGATAAAGAAAATATAGTAAATATAATGTCAGGGAATGAAAATAACTTTTTAATTGCATTTTGTAGTTGAAAAAAACTACACCAACAACTTACAAAACAACTACCTAACAATTTTGTAGTTAAAAAAAGTGTCCAACATGTTTCGATGTAGATTTTACATTAAAAAATGCTAATTTAACCGAACCCGTGGTTGAATAAGCTTTCCACCATTGAAAAATGAATATTTGAAACATGTCGGACACATTTTTTTAAACAATTCAATTGTTAATTCAGCGATTCATTTTTCCCGTGCACGGAATAGATCTATTTAAGGATCCAACATGAGCACGACCCCTACCAATCTTAGGTCAATCAGACTTGGGTTAAAAAATAAAAATGAGAGATGAAATCTGGAAACAACGCATTCGAGATACGTGGTTCGGGAATTTCGCCACCGACATAAAGCTCCCTGTTCATTCCGCGCGTTGAAAGCGACGCATCATCCGTGTATCCACCCGCAGGCGCCAAATTACACGAGTGCATAGTAGCAGAGAACACGGAAATATCGTATTACTCTGTGAAATTTGGCAACGCCTGCACTTCCTGTAATGCAACAGTTGTACTCCGGAGGCCTCGCGGGCACGGGAAGCTGCGGGTTTGAACTCTCAAATCTTGATGCCACTCCATGAAAATTGAATAGGTTCCCGCCATTTGTCACCAATATCTTCATTAGCCTGTAATAGAGTCGTTCCATCGGAATCTCTACTCATCGATCCGGCTCGCTGCATAATAAATGCCTCGCGGCGTTGCCAAGACTCTCACGTAAATATGTGCATTTTTGAGCTTTGGAGCCAGTCAAACTCTGCCGTGACAGCGAAGAGAGCACACCATGAAAAAAGATTGGTAGAATTCACCATTCCCCTGGTAAAAATTGGCAGTAGAATCTGTATTCCGAAATATCATAGACCTACGGCCGGCTTTAAGATTTGCAATAGCTTCTATAGCCGGCTACACAATTTCTTATAGTCTTTTATAGCCGATGGCGATTAAGCAACAGCCAGGCGATAAAGTGTATGCTAAACGTTACTAATTACGGATGCTAGGACTTAGTGAGTTTTTGGAATACTGCTCTCTTTTTGGGCCGTAATATCTTTATTTATTTTGCAAGGAAAGCTCCGTACTTTAGATGGATGCCTGTCATTACTAATATATTAGAGCGTCCTCAGTTTCGTATGATGCTGTGCAATACCTCTGGTGTGAAATAGTTGCTTCAAGCGCCGTGGCACGCTGCGGTGCGGCAGGCGGGCAGCCAGCGCGAAACGCGCATTGGCGCCTACAAACCTAACAGGGATACTTCACGCGTTGCGCAATGCGTGCAGTATCCCTGTTAGGTTTGTAGGCGCCAGTGCGTCGCCGCTCCGCTTTGTGTTAGGCTCTAATATTTAATCTGGCGGAGTCAGCGTTATGCAACTCATGATTTTGAAATTTTTGCACATCCTGTATGGATTATTCTCGTTTTCATTGATGAAAAAAAATACGAATTAAAGGAAAATATAACGTGTGTTTTGTAAATATTAAGGTGGTTCCGTATCAAACTTAATGATTTCCAAAGCACACGAATTTCTACACAATTTCTTATAGCCTTTTA